TACATACACACATCTATAGAATGTATGCTTATGCGAAAGCAACAGGAAAGCTAAATAAACGGAAAGTAAAACGCATACGTATCTGTGAATTATTTACTTTCTTTCTTGCAAATGTCGTGGCGTGGCATGGCGTGAAGTAAACCAGGTTGACTTGTTCATAAGGCGTAATAAGGAATATACACAAGCATACATACATAAACACAGATATAAGAGAGTAGCTGAAAGACTGAACGCAATAACTTCGAGAAATGAGATAAGATAATATTTAACAACTGTGTACGTTGTGTTGACTTTAGCGATCATTCCTGATGCCTTGCGATGGCTTTACAGCACTCGAAAGTGTATACATACATATGTATGTGCCTGTGTTCGTATGTGTATATGTGTGGTGATCGGGCGCTACCCATTTCATTCGATATGATTCCCAAATATCCATGCCCTTACCAAGCTGCCCATATAATAGATATATGTACATACACGAGAATGCATATATGTATATATATACATATAGAATGCTTGTATGTATGCGTAACTAGCACGACGCCCTGGTTTATAGAAATCAACTTCTGTGCGCATGTGTAATAAATGGCTTTGTGCACGATCACCCCCAAAGTTGCCCTACGGCATATCCTCTGTGCTGAAATCACGTCGCCAGTGGGGTCTCACGTACCGCCAGCGTGAGCTCAGCAAAGCGGCTCCACTGTCTGCCGCCAAGTGCTTAAAAACACTTGCCTGTGCATATACATCGATATGTATATGTATGTAAGTATATATTTGCCTTCAACATTTACTGAATTTTCAGCTTTCAGCTTATTTACTTTTTGCTTTTGCCACGTCTGCCACCACACAAACACACACCCAAAAACACACTGAAGCTTCACCGCACAATCAAACTCTAGGATTAGTAAGTGTTTTTCGACAATTTTCATCAGCAACAAAGTTGAATTATTTTACAGCCACACTGTTCACTTGTCGTTCGGATTTTCCTTTGTCTATTCATAACTTTTACCCCAACTGTTTGTTTAACAATTCTATTTGAGTGTGATTCTCTCTGCTGCTTTGCTCGCTATTGCCAGCCTAGAACGTTCATTAACTGGGGAATAGGCAAGTAACCACACGATCACTGGTTACAGCTTTGCTCGCCCTGCTTTTTGTCGACTCTTCGCTGCAACAAACAACAAAAAATTGTTTTTATTAACTGCCTTTAGCTTCAAAATCGTTATTTACCTCTATATGCGTGTGATTGTTGTTTATTTATTCCTTTATTTGTTACAATTTTCTATTGCCATTTGTCTGGTTACCAATGCTCCACACCCTCATATCGTTTGTGTGGTTATGCGATGGACATTTGCTACGGATCGCTGGGAAAATCCAATCGGGGTTTATAGGTGTTTGTAGTGAATGTGGTTATGAATGAATATTTATATAAATGTATGTGTGTAAGTATATATGTATATGTAAATACAAATCTAATTCCGTTTCGGTTCGAGAGTTGGGCGAACCCAACTAAATGTTGACGTTTTAGATGCGTTTAAAATAATGTTCTTGCTCAGTTTATACATATATGTACATATTTGCAAAGATCATTTAGTGTATGTAGATCGGCATTTTTCTTAAGTTACGGTTTCTTCGTGGAATTGTTAAATAGATAAGTTTTATATACACACAACTGGTAGCCAGAAAAAAACTGTTTACGCTTCAAAAAGCTCTATTATTTATATGTTCAATAATAAATTTTTTACATTTTTTTTTGTTAAAAAGTAAGTAAGTAAAGCGTTCTCCATCATATGTTATGGGACTGCTAGTTGTTCCACGTACAGCTGATTTTAGAGCACTGTTTTTTACTGTCTCTATTTATTTTTATAAAAAATATCATATATGTAAATAATTTAGCCGCAGTCGAGATGCACTATAAATGCTAATTTGAAACCATTATCTCTCGAACTTTAAACTAGCAGCCAAGACTTAAAACTGCAACAAATACCAATTTATATTGTATAGATTTAAGAATGCGCACAACAGATTTCCGCTTTGAGTCACTGCCTTGACATATTTCACCTACATGCTATAAGATATTCCCACCATTGGCTAAAATCCAACAACAGTTAGGTATAAACAATTTATCTACGCAAAGCTGTATTTGCGCTGTATGAGTTGTTTTGTTGCTCCACACAACTGCTCCCTAATTTGATATATTCTAAAATGTCAAATGGACTTCTAATACGAGTACTCGCACAACATTAATTTATTAGCTCTAAAACCAGTTCTATAAAGCTTTCGATACACTCGCTTTTAAGCGCTTAGCCGCCACCTCTCACACCACTCCTTTCTTTCGTATGTGTTATGTTGTTTGCTTCGTCGATTGCCGATCATCGTTCAATGTTCCAAGACCGCAGCCATAGCTACACCAACAACGCTGACATGACACACTTGTTCGCAGGCTTTTGCCGCCGCCATGTACTACGAATACAGACCTTTTATACAAAAGCAAAATAATAATAATAATATATGAAAATAAAAATCACTTTACATGGTGAAACACTTGCTCGTGCTTCTAGGAATCGCGCATTCACAACAAATCGTTCGTTGAAGCAAATTACTTGTGAAAATAATAATAACGTTGTAAGTTATTTTTAATTCCTGATTTTATAAGTCATTCTTTGACGTTTTTTTTTTCCTGAAACCGCCATTATGGGTAGGCATTGGTGTAAGGAACGTGATAATTGAGGTTAGAATTTATTTTCTATGAAACAGCTGATGGGCTCCAGTTTATTTTTGTATTGATTATTATTAACGGGATCAAATATAATTTAAGACTAATTCACTTTTTCAACCTACTAATATTTAAAATTATTGCTATTATCAACTATATAATGTCATCCTTTAACAAAACATCTTAATAATTTAGAATTTTCTCCAATCTGACTAATTTACAATGACTCATAACAACAACAGCATCAAACGAAGCTATCAAAGGTTTTCCTAATTGATTAAGAAACTCTATGATGGCATACACTGTTCAGTATTCGAATCAATTATTCATATAAATAAAACTACGAGGCAAAAAACTCTATTAATAGAATTTGTAAGCTCTAGCGAATTTGTTAGAATCTTTAAACAGATACTTACATACATATGTAAGTAAGAAAAAGGAGACAACCATACAAATCATAGTTGAATTACAGGTATATAAAGTTTCGATAACTTTTCTAATTTAGCTTAAATTGAATGATACGGATATTGGTGGCAGTTACCGTGGGACTGCAATTAAAATCATAGTGTTGGTCTATATACATGCATACATATGTATGTCTGTATGTGGTTTATTGTTAATTAGAAAGACGGTAAACGATTTCGATGATCGCGAAGTAATCATAAATTTCACAGTACATTAAGAACATTTTATAAATATATTTGTGGGATACTGTAGGTGGCAGTGTCGTCGTATACATATGTATGTATCTATGAAATTTAATGCCATGCGTTCAGCAAATATCAATGCACCGTCCACCTGTTGCTATTTGTTTGGTGATATAGAATATATAGTTTATGTGCATAACATATCTTACACGTTCTCTTTCCTAACATTCCTTCGCATTATCAGTTGCATTTTTTCATTTATTTTTTATTTCATTTTACATGCTCCGCAATTATAGTGCATGTGCATTTAACAACAAATACATTTATTTGTATTGTTGTATTGTTACTAAGAAATATCTGCAGCAATCACGATTTTTCGCGAATTCATTCGTATTCTCATTAAATAGTTAATTACTTGTAAATTATTAGCTGATCGTATGCTCGGGGTTCGCTCATCTATATTGTACTCTCTCTCATGCTTACTCAATTTCTCCAAAAATCGTTGCCGCGTATCGCTTTACTTGCCAACTGAGTCAGAGCGTGTAAATATGTATGCTTCGTTTGTGTATGTGTGTGCTTTATGACTTTCACCTCTGCATTATCAGTTCATTACTCTCAATTATGTGTTGCTTATTTATGCTCTGCTCTCTACATTCAATTGTTCTGTCGAGAGCGTTGTCTGCTAATTTTTTGTACTTGCTTTCCGCGTTTTGCATGCCTTCTTTATATTCCTCTATCCTTTCAATACAATTTGTTATTGTTTAACCTCTTATCAGTCTCCGGCACAATACAGCACTGTATATGTGTCTTTGTATGTGCATTTTGTCCACCCTCCACTCCATTGAGTCACTTACCACTCGTAGCTCAGTCTTCCTTATTTGCTTTTATATTCACACATATCGAATTTGTTTTTTAACGTATGCACATGCGTCCTATATTACTCATCGGGCGCTGGACGTCAATTTGGATTCATAGGTTTTATATAAAGTTATCAATTACAACAAGCTATGTTAAATTTGCCATGGAGTTTGTAAAACTTAGAAGCAAACGTCGGTGACCCTATCGATATGACGAGCTCAGTCATTTAGCAATGCCCGTCCGTCTGTATATGCGCAAACTTGCCCCTCACTTCACGTTCTTTTCTCCCCATGAAGCTGCTCATTTGTCGGAACCGCCGATATCGGACCACTATAGCATATAGTCGACACACAAACTGACCGATGTAACCGAAATTAACTTTTTTTTTAACCAATTTTTGTTAATGTTTGATCGTTTGTGTCATTTGCTTCGCCATATTCGATATGCTCTTGTGTTTATTTTAGAGGGGGTTGTCACACATGTAGTTTCATATTGTTTTATCCTTTCAACTTTTTTGAGAATCAGTCATTGTCTGCTTGCTGAGATAAGGCAAACATTATTTAGTTAGTATTGATTTTAACTATAATTCATATGTATATTTTTATTATAAGTTTAATGTGTGTTTGGCACTCAACTAGATTGAATACAGTTCATGCATTTGCTGTTGAAATATTTAATACAAATTTAAAAAAGTACTTTACTTCCTTTTTGAATGCACATTACAAAACCACCTCTTCAAACATGTAAAACTAATTTACAGTTTCCTTTTCTTTATATTACAGGAGTTTTTGAAAAACTTGTTCAACGTTTGAAAGGAAAAAAGGAATGCGCATTATTTTTCATTCATCGAGAAATTTACAAGGAACAACAACGCGGCACACAGACGCTTTGTAATTTTATAACTTTTCTGGAAATTGTTGACTTTTAAACCTAAAAGGATCCAATTAAGAAGCATTTTCGTGTGTATATTTTACGCGGTGGCTAATCATAATTTGTGTTAGCTAGCTTAGTCTGGCATAAATAATTTAATTTAACAACAAATTTATACTCCTCAACAAAAGGTTTGTGAGCATATCACAACCAAAAAAAAGCCTACAAATGAAGATGGCATCCCAAAGATTTTGCCTACGATGGAATAACCATCAAAGCAACTTATTATCTGTGTTCGATCAGTTGCTACACGCCGAGACATTTACGGATGTCACGCTGGCCGTCGATGGACAATACTTAAAAGCACACAAGGTAAGTGTCGTACGCACATACAGCTAAACGAATTACTCTTCCCACCTACATACTTACAAATTATTACATGTATTGTCGGATTTTGTTGTTTCTTCTCCACCAATAGATGGTTCTATCTGCCTGTAGTCCGTATTTTAATGCGCTCTTCGTACACCATCCCGAAAAGCATCCAATTGTCATTTTAAAGGATGTACCATACTCCGATATGAAATCTCTGCTCGACTTTATGTATCGCGGTGAAGTTTCTGTGGATCAGGAACGGCTCACGGCTTTTTTGCGTGTCGCCGAATCATTACGTATTAAAGGTTTAACCGAAGTCAATGATGATAAACCATCACCGGTTGCGCCGACGCCACCACCACCACAACTACAACGTATTCAACCGTATTTGGTACAACAACAACAACATCAACGTAGTAAATCACAGAATAGTCTATTGGCTGGTTCAAACGCCGGTGCTGGTGGCATGGCTGGTGGCCAAACAATGGCTGGCGGCCAACATACGCAGCAACAACAGTCGCTGTTGAGTTCAGCACTTGCATCAATGCCGAAAAGAAAACGTGGTAGGCCACGGAAATTGTCGGGCAGCTCCAATGGTACCGGAAATGATTATGATGAATTTGAACGTGACGGCATGATGAACGTAAGTAATTGCAGCATATACACCACTTGTTGTTGGTGTGAAACATTAAAATTCAATTATTTTTATGCTTTACAGGACTCTGAGATGGGCGATTGCAAAATGGGCGATTCTTATTCAGGCAATGATGATGCTTCAGACGATAATCAACGTGACGGCGGCGATATGCGTGATCCAAGCGTAAGTATACTATTTTTTTAAATTTTGTACAAACATTGTTTTTATACTAACTTAAATTAGCTGTCTAATCAAAATGATTAATTTTTCAATTACTAAGCGGTTTTTTAATCGTTTTTACAAGTAGTCAAAAACTTGTTAAAAGAAAACATTTGAAGAAATATATTTGGCAGTATTATGAAGTTTATTGTTAACTTTTCGTTTCTCTTTCTTTTTATAGGAGAGCCGAGATTCCGTTTCCCACAGCAAGAAATTCAAATCAAAAGACAACAAATCTAAACAAAACGAAAATGATAACAGCACATCTGGTAAGTTCAGCATTACCACTTATAAAATTTAACTATAAACAAGCATTCGCATTTTGAAAATTATAATTAAGTTTAAAGTACGAATTCGATAACATAAATGTATGTGTGTATATGTTAAGATTATCCGATTTAGTAAAGATTTCATTAAAATCAGCATAATTAACTTTTAACCATTCCTTAAAACCCAATGCGGGGATATATAATATTTTTTTGGTAACGTTTTGGCACCAACTAACTACAAACTATTAAGCAATACGTACATATGTACATTTTTGTTATCGAATTTCGCCTTTTTAATTTTTTGGCTTAGCCATGAAAAGTAACGAAATTACTAGAACAGCTGTGTTAAATATTTGTAATGTAATTTTTATATTTATGTATATGATTACATGCATATGTGTGTTTATATACATAAAATCGTTTTTCAAAATTATTTTCACATACAAGCCAATCATTGTTTTTCACATAATCATAACTGTTAAAAAACTGAATTTATTTCAACCAAACAAAAAAACAAAATCGAAGACATTCWTTAAAAAATATATGTATATCGTAAAAACATAATTAAAATGACAATTAAGTGAAAAAGGCGAACTAACGAAGGGGTTTGAAAATCGCATCGGAAAAGCTAAAAGGGATTTACGAAACTATTTCGAAATACATAGAAATTGATACCCCGACATAATCCATTTTGTTGTGTTGGGTGTAAAATCGTAGGCCATATGTGCGAATTAAACATAAATCAAAATATGAGTGAAATAAAAACAAGTGTAAATAAGGAAATAATTCATAAAACTCGTAACTGCGCGTAGTATTTTCCCGTTGATCTTTTCGCGTAGTGTAAACGATGTAAGAGAACAGTTCAAAGGCCGCGACTCATTTCGTCGGCAGGTGAGTTTCAAAGTTTTATGAAAAGCTAAGAGAACGTAATGAAAGTATGATGCAAGAAACGCAAATAAAGCGAAAAGGAAAGTTTAAATTATAGCTTGAGTTAATTCGAACTGGCAGAGCTTAGGGATTCATGGCCGACGTAATGAATATGTTAATAAAGTGCGTATTAAAATTGTCTCAAACATTTGATAATACTGATTTTACCTATACAACATTTGTATGCGTTATAAAAAGAAAAAGAAAAACATAATTGACATTAAGAGAAAATTTAAAGCGTTTTATTAATATATTATATATTATATTTTTGCTATTACCAAATTGTTCTGTTACAAAACACGTTTATGTAACGTTTTATTTTGCTGCTGCACTCATTGATTTACGATTTTTTTTTCGTGATGACCGTTATTTTACAATAAGTGGAACAGTCATGTTTCGCTGAATTTTTACAAGCGTCAGATGCATCGATTTGTGTAAATGCGAAAATGCAATTCCGATACTCAGTAAAAAAGAAATACAAAAACAAACAACTGAGAATGGCTTGAAATCCCTATAGCTTTTCCGAAACGTTTTTAATCTTCTTCATTGGAACGCGTGCGTGTGACAAAACAAAAACAATTTGAAATTGTTACGATTTTTTTTACAGCAAAACGAATTTCCTTTCCGTTTTTGTTTGCTTTTACGTTGCATTATACATTCATACCATTAGGCGAAGAAAGCACACACATACAAATATAACCCATATGCATACATAATATGAACAAAATCACAACCATTCAAAAAGTAAAATAAATATAAAAGAAAAAGAATAAAGACCTACAATTTGACACCTTTATGGACCATGTAATAAAAAATTAGATAAGACACACTTAAATTGGAAAATAAATATTCGTCTCCGATAATTACCAATGAAACTGCCGTTTTCAAAAGTAGTTGATCGTCGTGAGACTATGTACTATTTCCATTACTATTTTTTCTTTTTAAGTGTAACTATACTCATTGCTTTTTAATTGAGCAACAAAATGATTTCTCTTGTTTGTATGTTTGTGTGTGTCTTCGTCTATCTTAAGCTAACAGATTTTTCTTACATGCAAACAACTAAACAATTCCCCAAATTTTAGATGGCAACGATAGCGACTGCGATGATCAAATGGACACCTCTTACATGGAACCCCAATTAATGCTCGACGAATACGATGAACCGGTCGAATTTAAGTTTGATCCTAATGCCACCAGCTCACCCTCACAACAGAATAACGCCATGGCTTTGGCTGCGCAAGCGCAACAACAGCAGATGGAACGCCAATTACTGCTCGCCCAACAAAAGAAACAACAGCTAATGGAGGCTGCAGGCATGAAATTTTCGGAGGCTTCCGCCAGCGGCGTGCCAGGCACCGTAACGCTACTTAACTCAATGGTCAGCATACCGAAACTGACACCCATCGGCAAAGTGTCAAAGTTAAAAGTGAATAAGCGCACCAAATTGAAGCAGAATGGCGTTAGCGGTGGCAATGTGGCTGGCACTGATGGCAAAGTAAGTTTAAATTAATGGATATTAAATTGCAGAAAGGATATTAATGAGCGTACTTTGTTAACATTTTTTTTTTAGAATTACCCCAGCGATTATGTAGATATGTTCAATGTCAATTACATTGGCGCCAATGCGAATGCACTTCAAACACCCAGCCAATCGAATAAATTGAAGGGTGCTTTGAGCGGCAACTCTACCACATCCGCCAACGTTTCCTCACCTTCGGCTAAAACCAAACTGAATACATCGGGTGGCGCGCTGCCAGCAGGCGAAACGGAAGGCTCCGTCCGCGATTACTGCACCAAAGAGGGTGAGCATACGTATCGTTGTAAGGTATGCTCTCGCGTCTACACACACATCAGCAACTTCTGTCGCCACTATGTGACATCACATAAACGCAACGTGAAAGTGTATCCCTGCCCCTTTTGCTACAAGGAATTCACACGCAAAGATAATATGACGGCGCACGTGAAGATCATACATAAAATCGAGAATCCCTCAACAGCGTTGGCCAATGCATCGGCAGTAGTGGCAGCAGCGGCCGCCGCTGGCATAACACCTTCATCAGCACCACAATCTGCAGCTGCGTCGACAGCGTCTACACCTACGCCACCCGATTTGTCCACGCAATGTTCAAATCAATCGGCAACAGGCGTGTCCACAACGATCGCATCGGCAGCATCGTCAACCTCATCTTCGTCGACATCGTCGACAACGTCATTAGCATTAGGCGCTGGACGTCTGCCTGAGGCGGCGACTGCGCAATAAACACGCCTAAAGCTTGTTAGAGACTATTAAATATAAAATAACAAAAAACAAAAGGACTAGCAATAACAAACTGGGTGTTGGTTACTCTTACATACAAATAAATTTGTATAAATCCATTTGTTCAATGCGGACAGTATACGTTGCTCGAAAAATTAAAGCAATGAGTGTGTCTAGGCTAAAATCAAACACCGACATGTTTAGACAAAGTGCGACTTTACAAAAAGCAAAAAGTAATGCAAAATATTTGAGGTATGTCAAGGACAAATTGGGCTGATAAATAGGCTTCCAAAATGCGTGAAATATTTGCTACGGTCAAAGCAAATCATAAGATTTTGCGCATTTTTAATTCGTTGATTTCCAAACTGCTTAAAATGCAGTTGACGACGTTCTAAACGTTGACAAAATGTAATAATTCGTTGTTTGTAATTATATTTTCTTTAGCTGTAATTTTAACTGCAATTGCAATTTATTTTTTGTTTTAATTATTTAGTTACAATTATTTGTTTCTATTAACTTTTTTTTATATTTTTGAGCTTAACTCGAAAATTACAAACATACACATTTACATGAATTTAAAAGAAAAAAACAAAAAACACTTATGTGTAATAGAAACTCGGGAATAATATTTCTGTTAATTACAGTTGATTATTAATTTGTATGTTTGACTTACAATTGTTTTCGCAAAATTGCCAGCAAAAACTTCTCAGATTTTTTTTTATCTAACATTTGACCGTTATCTGCAGTTGATTTTTCGAATGGATTTAASCCATTCACTCTTTATATGATTCTTTGCTAAACATAAGTTGTGCAATTTATTATTATTAAAATATTTTTCTTTATTATTTATTTAAATGGTTTTGTGTAATTTTAGTTTATTGAAAATAAAATATTTCACAATAATCCAATTGTTTGATGGCATTCAAATGCAAGTGGCCTTCTTTTAGTTTAGTAGTATATATAATTGCATATATAATATACATATGTATAAATCGGACCACATGTTAGCGACCACATGTCACTCGACGCTAACCAACTAATAGCACCGGTAGACACATACACATAAGCCTAATAAATAAATTCACATTTTACACACTTAGTTAATTTTACGTGTTTTTAACGCTAAAATATTTACAATGAATATTAAATGTAAAAATAAATTAATATTAAATATTATATAAATAAAAAAAAACTACCTTGTTGCCTTCAAATGAAGCTAGTTTAATATTATGTTTAATAAAATTACCTTTTGTGGTAAAAAAAAAACTAATTTAAAATAAAATACGTAACAATATTGCGAATTCTGTAAGGGGATCCCCGCAATTTTTGTTAATAAAAAATTATTTATGTTTAGAACATTAATTTACTATAAATATTTGTATTTTTATTCACACTGAAATATCAAAATATAAAAAAAATATCTTATTTATAAACAAACAGCAATAAAACGTTATAATTAAAAAATTAGAGAGCAAATATTTAGCGTATAAATGTATATAACTTATATTTATAATTTAATATATTATGTATTGTATTGCATATAATATGTATACATTTAAATCGGAGGCTTAAATTATCGCCAAAGAACTACAGATACAATAATTAATAATTTAAACTAAAGAGTACATTTTTATGCACATACACACACAAAGCGAATAAAAACCAACAGCTGAACGCTCACAATGTGAATTGTTTTTTTTTTTTTTTGTGCTGTTATAAAGACAATGTAAACAGTAGTTGGCTCTCGAACAAAAAGTGCACTTATATTGCAAAGTAAAATATACTACATAAATTTTTACAAAATATAAAACCAATATCAAATGATAATTGCAATAAAAATGTGAACATAAAAACACAACTGAGGCCTTTTCCTAAAATATTTTTCAATTTGTATGCGCGTATAAGCAGAAGCAACTTTGAAGTACGGAAAAATGTTTAATAACCACATAACGTAGTAGCGAACGATCTCCAACAAAACAGTAGTAAAATCTATTTATATACGTGCTAAAACCTTTCAAACTTTCTAAGCTTGTTTTGCAAAAAATTCTTTAAAATAGTAATATATGTTAAAATACGAAACATTTCTCTTATGGCATACAAATCAACATAAGGCAATCATAATATTACAAACTTTTAAGAGTAACTTTTTAACATTCTAAACACAAAATATTCAAACATTTACAAAATACTTAGTTTTTATTTATCTTATATTTAATATTTACTATATTTCTTCATCGTTTTTAGTGGTAGCTAGTGCAATTTAGTATATTATTTCATAACAAGTTAATTAATAACAAATATTAAAAAATTAATATAATCAATGATAATAATATATAAATAAAAAAAAACCTCACAACGTCAGCTCCTTCAATGGTTAAAACCTATTTTTATTGCTATATTGTAGCATATGCATACATACATTTACTATACAATGAAATGAAATATAAGTACATATATGGATATGTACATATATCAATATGATAATTAATAAAGAATTTTTGTTGCACTAAAAAAGAAAAACACAAACAAACGATTGAGTTTTAAATTTATAGCAGATATGGTTGTTTTTTGAAATTAGGCTTACCGCGCTAATTCAAATATGGGGTAATTTTCAAGTAGTTGACTCGGTAATATACAATTTTTCTTTTATTTATAATTTAATTTCTTATTATTTATAAATATAAAAAGATAAAAATATTTTTTAATTTTATAATTAATGAAAATATTTAAATTAATAAAATAAAATGCTAATGCTTTTGGAGGTTAGTTATCCAAAGCTTGCAAATCTTAGCATACAAAGGGTATATGATGCAATTTTATAAAAAAAAAAAAAATATTAGTTATTAAATTCGAAAATATTCACTCAAAATTTTATATATGTACCTTTGTATATACATATGAGTATTTTATTAAAATTTCTTCTATTTTTTTTTTTGTCTTCTTTTAGTGCAACTTATAAATGCATCACCCGAATTATCACAAAGGCTCTTTGGCTTGATGAAACCAGCAGTTACTGTCCAACCGCAACAACAACAACCAGCACAAAAGGATTCAAATGAATCTGCCGTCACGCAAACGTCACTGCTACAATGTAATGAACCACAAGAGGTTGCCACACATCTGCCCACGGTCTTGGGACTGAAAGTACGTAATGCAATGCAATTAACTGCTTCACCGCTACAACAACAGCAGCAACAACAGAGTGGCCCTCAGAACTCCAATTCACTGTTGAAGCAGCAATTGCGCGCTGGTTTAAAGGAAATATCAAATAATGCATCAAATGAAGCAATGGCCACTGGCAGCGCCGATTTTAGCTGTTCAGCACTACAATCGCTGGCAAGTGTCGCCGAACGTCAAACGCCGAATGCAATACAGCCCCCTTCTGCCAATAATTTGCACCACCAGTTCTTGTTACACATGGCCGCGAACCCGATGCTAAAGCCCACTGCTGATTTCTTTCGACAACCACAACAGCAAGAACAAACAACCACGCAAGACAACCACCAACAGCAATCACAAGGCAAACAACCGCAAACACAATCCCAACTGTTGCAGCATACAGCAGCCGTACAGCCGACACAATTACTCGAGCAGGAATTACAACGTGAGGACAGCATGTCGCCTACAAATATGGATCTTATACTCGATCATACTGATAAATCGGAGCCGGAATTAACGTTAGCGGATGAAACGGCCGGTCTAGAATACAAAAACAATGACATATCGCAAGAAAACAACGAGGATGCTGTTGCTATAACAACAATAACAATTGGCGATGGACCTGACAATGAGACCCTGAACGCACAAAGCACCACAGCAGCGATAACAACAACAAATGCACGTACAGGCTCCACAACCCGTCGCCCGGCGCAGCGACGGCGCATACGACGTAAAGCGCAATCCACAATCGACGATCAAGCTGAGCACTTGACAGAGATGTCCGTCCGTGGACTCGATCTGTTCCGTTATGCACGCATTAATGAGGGCGTCTATCAGTGTACCGAGTGTGCTAAAGAAGATTTGCAAAAGACTTTCAAGAACAAATACAGCTTCCAGCGGCATGCCTTCCTATATCACGAGGGAAAGGTGCGTAAGGTGTTTCCTTGCACGTTGTGTGGCAAGGAATTTTCACGTCCTGATAAGATGAAAAATCACTTAAAGATGGCGCATGAGAATTTTGTTGCACGCGACACCAGTAGCTTTAATCCACTAAACTATTTAATAACGGCGGCAACGGCCGAAGAAATGCAAACAGCTATATTTACCGCAAGCGCTGCTGCGCAACAACAACAACAGCAACATCAAAAACAACAACAAAGAACAATTGGTCAGGATGATTACTTGGGCAATGGTGTTAGTATTGTCAATACAACGCAGCGGGATCGTGGCAATTCGCGGTCTACGTCGCCGAACGCAGCAGCGGCATTGCTGAAATCGCAGAATGAATTGACCATCAAGAACGAGATTGTGATCTCACCTTCACCCTCACCCGAACCAAACATGTCGGTGCCCAGGAATGGCACAGCGCCATCGGCACTTGCTGTAGTAACAAAATCTACAAATATGTCCGTTTTGCAGGCGAAACGCATAACGCAAAGACTGGAAGAGGTGAATTAAGTTTAAATGAACTAAAATGCCACTAAATAATTATTAATAATTAGGTGTAGTCTGGTGTGTTTAAAAACACATTAATGTTTATTAAGTTTTAAACATTTATTTTTTTTTTTTTTGGTAGGCCGCAAAGTGCAAGAAATAGTATACAATAATAACTTTAATGGTTGTGTCGATATGGACGCGCAACTGAAAAGTCTGACTTATCTATAAAATAATGCACAAAAATCGACTCATTTACTTAAATACTTAGATACATAAATATTTTTAATGTAGTTAAGTATTTTACATATATGCTAATTTAAAAGCGAATTACTAGTGATAATAGCTAGAGTGGAAGGAAATGTTAACAAAATGCACAAACAAATAACTTGGCACAAATATGAGATTACAAGTTTGCGTACATATGTTACATACATACATATTAATTTAAATATTTCGAATAGTTTTTCTAAACAAAAATTATGAAGCACACAAACAAGGCCTTAAAAACATTGGGCATACATTTACTTGATGAATATACCTATAATATATATAAATTGAAAGAATTATATTTATATGAAAATTTTAAGCAATATTTAGTCATAAGTTTTAACATTATATAAGCATTTAATTTGTAAATAATCTAAGAGCCGTCCATTTTTATCCCTCAAATTAGACGCATACTTGCATATGAATGTATGTGCGTGCGCACATATATTGCTGCAATTATTAGTTAAAATGTAATTTATACTTAGAAATTTAATTTTCATGCACTTTTATTTATTTTATTAAACTCAGTTTATTTAATTTATTATATAAAAAGTTATATTATGTATTGTGTTGAAAATTTTCAACACTAAAATAGTCCATTGCCGTTGGCAGACTGCTAAGCTAGTGGTTTAAATAGTTTCGTTTGACAATGACTGCTCCTTATTTTCTTATGCCTAGTCTTAAAAGCCTTAAAATACGATTTTTTGTCTTAAGCAAGTTAATAGTAAATATTAATCTACAGAAATATTAGCTGATATTATATATATGCATAATTTCACAAGTATACATAAATATTTAGGTTTGTTGATTTCTGAAAAACACTATAAAGAAGGATTAAACATCACTACACACTTACGAAAACTCGTTTGTATATATAAAAAGGTCCGAATTGCATTACATGTATTTGTCTAGAAATTTGAGTCTGAGAAGTGTCAGTATATTTTTTTTATTATTAAACAGTTTCTGTTGAATATTTATATTTGATTCAACTCGTGCTATTTTTTATTCTCATTATGTACAATAATTCTTTCTTATCGGCACAGCCTTACGAATATGTTTGTATTTCATTTCATTTGCATAGGTATGCAAAAATTCTTTAATTATGATGGATTTACTGTATTAATTTAAGGGTTAGGTGGCCACTCTACCGGGCAAAAGATAATGTGCAGATTTAATAGTTTTCGTGATATAATCATTTATACACAGAAGAAAAATGAAGCACTATCAAGTTGAACCTCAAACTGATAAAATTTAATTTTGTAGGTTAATTTTGTTGACTATAATAAAAAAATTGTGCGATGCCTCTTTGATCCTTTTTTAAGCGCGTTGCATCGAACTTCTTGGTCACAATTTTTGTCTTGAAGCAAAACCAAAAAATCAACTTCATTAATCTACCTGAGAATACTCATAGAAGTATAATACGTAGAGAAATTTTAAAATATTGATTTCTTCAAAAATTATAGGCATTTGAACCTAAAAATTAAATTTTTAGTAAATTATTTCCTAATAAAATGGCCATAAAAAAGTTTTAATCAAACGAAATAAACTACGTTCTTCTATGCAAAATCCTATTCTAAAGATAATCCTGTGCCGGAGATCGACTTGCTGTATACCCTTAATATCGTTTGATATTTTTCTCACTACAAAACAATGAAGTAGTAATAGTTATGCGTAAAAACGATTTTTCGAAAATTCAGTAGCAGTTATAACCCTTCATTTAAATATTTCTTTCGAGTATGTTACTATTTTTAGAAATGTTTTGATTGTTACTAACATTTGCTTTTAACTATAATATATGGAAAAATTGTTATAACCCATAAAAGCCAGCAAAATAAATAATTTTTGCTACCATTCGTTAAAGCAAATTTATTAAAATTTCATTCAGAAAATTAATTTTGGCTATACAATTGTATGTTTTTTTACACATATTATTTATTTTTAAACCAAATTTTATATTATTAGCAAATTTTCCGGATAATGTTTGTTATTTGTGATCTTTTCTCAAGCTACTTGAAACTTACTTAATATTATGTATTTTTATATAACTTTATTATTTGTAAATATTATTTATCAAAATGTATTTAAGTTAATACTCAACAGCTAGTATCGCATATTAAAAGAAGTGAACTATTGCAAATATTTGACACATAAATAGATTAAGTTAAAACGCAAGACTTATGCAACAAATTTTATAGATTTATTTAAGCCACGCTCAATTATGAAACATGTAAAAAACACATTTTTCATTTGCATCGAAAGTTATATGTACTATTTACTGGAAGCTATATTTTAAAAGTTTTTTAGGATGTATGATAAAATAGATGCTCAAGACTTTTTCCAGTGATAGTTTTATTTTCAAAACAGCTAGTTTTGAACTCTCCACTCACTTTCAATTATTTAGGCAATTCAAGGCTTAAGCCAGCGCTAAAATATCAAAATGTATCTACCTAAATTAGATTTATTCAATAATGTAACTAAACTTTGTCACCTAATGTAGTTTAGGACTGAGAAATTGCAAAACTTTTGCATACATAATATAAATATATGCCTTTATACTTATTTCAAGCAAACATAACTATTTCATTTTTCTTTATTAACGGTATGGCTAGAAAAGCCATGAGTGTGAGTAGAAAAGGGAACAATTCCTTGCTTCTAAGCTATCCACTAATAATTTTTAAAAAACTGCAATTTAAAACAATTGTTCTTTTTTATATTTTTCATTAATATTTATATTTTTATAAATGAAATTCTTATATAATATACATATATCCGAACATAAACGGAATGAGTGCAAAATCTAAATTATTACAACAAACTAAATTACTGATTCGTTGAACGGCGATACCAGAAGCGTGCACGGAAATCATCTGAGCATGTTAAAAATGCCGGGGAGTTAGGTGAATGTGTTATAAAACGTACTGGACCATTATGGCCTAGTGACATCAAATTCAAACGACCACCGTTGCGAGAATTCCACGAACATAGTGAAGTGGTGGCTTCATCGGGAAAGAGTACATAATCTTCTGTGTGATTGAATACTGCCTGTGTATTGTGTTCCTGTTTGCCAGTAGTTCCAGCACCGGTGTATGTTTGTACTGGGCGACTGGTGCATAACTCCCATAAATAGACCAGTGAGTCTTTTCCAGATGAAAGCAAATACTGTGGAGAAAAGATTCAATACAGTTAATACAGTTTTGTTTGTGATAAACGGTATTTTGTCTAAGCACGATTTTAGGTTTGAATTTAGATTTTTTCCCTTCTTCGTTAGTTATTAGTTGTTAACGACCAATCTACAGTCAGCTTTATAATCATTACCTTTCCATTCATGGTGAATTCCAGTGAACAAATTTCTGCGCCCGCATGAGCCTCGGGTATGGTATTAATACAGCGTCCGCTGACTCCGTCCCATATTTTTATTGCACCATCTAAACTGCCCGTGGCATATAACTTCGCCGTTGGTGCAAATTTCACGCAGGTTACCGCAGCTTTATGTTGCTGCGACGGTATAGCACTCACAAAACATTGTGATGTGTGTACATCATAGACACGCAAAACAAAGTGTTCTGTGCCAATTGCCATATAATCACCGGTGGGATGAAATGACAAACAGGTTACGGGTTCGCAATCAGTGAAGACTTTATGCGCCTTTTTCACTGAAGGTTTGGCAATATCAAAAAGTTTTACGGTACCATCTCTTGAACCAGAAGCAAGTATATGTTCTTTAGGATGAAACTCCAAATAAGCTACTTCGTCTGTGTGGTCATAAAGCGTACGTATAACGGGATGTCCTTGTTGTTCACGACCCGGTTCTATGTCTTCTGGTGCCGATTTAGCCAACATGCGCTCGACATCTAAAATTTTTATACTTGCATCTACACTGCCTGTGGCAACAAGTGTACCATCATGACTAAATGCACCAGCACGACAAGACTGCTTATGTGAAGTAACGTAAGCAGTTTCATATGAAGCCGGTTCGGGCGCAAGGGCAGACGCCTCGGGCTCAAATTCTAAATCGATTCCAGGTAGAACGTCATCCTTAGGTGCAATTGGTTTTTCGGTAGTAGCCTGCATGCCGGCGATCATAACGTGTAATAAACGTTCACTGGGGGCGCATTCATCTGCTTTTACCAACATAGAAAGTTCCATTGCAAACTTCTCCAGTCCATCGTACATCAATTGACTGAATGGGAAACACAAATGTAAATTCCAAAATTGTGTAAAACTTTTTTTACTTACCTTATAATAAGTCTGTAAAGAATCTCACGGTTCTTTACTAGATTTCTGGGATCTAAAATCTCAATATCACGCATATTTCCTAATTTTTCACAATTCTCGAAAATAACTAGAAAATACAATTGTAGTTTTAGCTTGTACAGCTGTTTATAAAGCCGGCGGTTCTGGGAGCAATTCACAATTGAAATAGAATAGTTTTACCAACTTTTGTACTACCTTAGTTATATTATTTCCTTAAGATATGAAACAAAACAATATTCCAATGTTATAAACTTATTTTTATGGTAGCAAAGTCGTTAATTTTATTGCTAAAGTTATTATTATTAATAAGCCTATATTTTGTTTCCTTCGAGTGTTAACTCTAGAAATGAATTTAATTTGAAAGGCAGCACTGAAATAATTGTTATTGCATTCACAATAGCATAATATGACAATTTACTTAGACCAACACTTTATTTTTGTTTATTTCGGTTAAATGTCAGAAAAAAACTTTTAACAATAAACACGTGTAGTTAATTTACTATTCGTGCCTTAATTTTGTTTTATTAAGAAAAGTAATCATTCTGATCAGAAGAAAATAATGAAAATTCGTAAAAATCATCAGCGTAAGCGTTATCGCTACAATGTCAATAGAAAAACTATGAGAAAAACTCGTGAATCCACCGGGAAAATAAAGGAGTATGTATTGTCATAAACCTTAGAAGATTGATATATAATTTTCCTTGGTGCTGTAATTTAAATAATATATGTATATATTTTACAGTCCTGAAATGAAGAAACTCTGGATTGAAACAAAGCGTAATAAAAACTTCAACGAATTGGGTCTTTCTTCTGATCCCAATAAAACGGTACCAATTCCAAATTTCAAACAACACCGTCTAAAAGCCGTGAAAATAGTAAACGGTTTTATTGAGGAAGAAATAGATGACGAAGAACTGAATGAAAAAATAACAGATCGGCCAAGAGGCTATGTCATAGAACAATTAGAAGCGGACGCAACTGCGCCTAGAGAAAAGCTCCTAAGGTAATTTAAATTTATATTTACACACATGTTTTATTGCTATACGCTTCTAATTTTGAATTTTTCTTAGACTGCCTAAAAACTCAATAGACCATTTGAGTTACTTTCTGGACAAATATAAATTCAACTACAAAGATATGGTGGCAGATAGACGAAATTACTTACAATGGACATGGAAACAGTTCCGGATGAAAATAAAAAAATTTATGTCAATACCTGAACAGTTTGATGAATTTTTGAAACAAAGAAATTTAAAGACAGGCGTAAAGCCAGCGTGGGAAGAATATGATTCAGACAGTGAATGGAAGTAATTGTAAAAAACACTTATTGTTTAGTCAAATAAGGGTTAGTTTTAAATAAATTTTATAATAACTCAAAATAGATATAATTCGATTTTGAATTATAGTTTAAGCGACGTACATGTATTATATTTGTGTATTTTGCTGTAATGTTACCGTTTGAAAATTTATCCCTTTTAAGATACGCTACTATGAAATGAGGCTGCACTGTGAATTAGCACCTCTTTTTGGTAGACGCTTGATGCAATCTGCATATTTTTAGCAGCAAATGCGAATATTTCTCTCACTGCTGCGCACTACCTGCCAAGAACCCTACAAAATTATTTTGCAGTCTCTTCTGTGCAACACATTCGAATAACAGATATGAGACATGTATGTCGATAATCTAATATAAGGGGGGAAAACCGACCTTGCTCCTGCTTACACTAGTGAAAGGGCGCATTATGCACTAGCTATTGCATTCACTCGATGCATGCTGCCTACCGACGTATATCATGTCTACATATGCACTCATCTAACGTGCCCCACTCGAATGAGGATGATGTTGGGCCCAGCATTGTCTATAGTAAGGGTATATGCGCCACATACAGTCACAAACTGTGATTTGGTTAGCCAAATGTGCTACGGCCTGTGATTATGGTGGTAAAGAGATTGGTAATGGTAGTGGTGGCACTATTCCAGCGCATGTGCATCAGGGCCATTGTGAAAATCGGCCTTTCCGTCTTTTGTGCTCGAGGTAAGTGGCAGGTAATTTTTAACGTTTTGTGAAAATCTGAAAATTACATTCAAAACATTAAACATCATTCCAAAAATTGTGCAAACAAATTGCAAACATATATTGGGTAAGTGGAAAATTGTATTATTTTCTTTACTCAATTAAAAATGTTTGTGAATATCTGTGTTTGAAAAATCGTCTACAAAAATGTGTATCACGCTGATATAAGTAAAGCGTTATATCAATTTGAAAAATGATAATCCCAAAGCCGGCCGGTGCAGCTAACAAGGTTTCCTCAAAGTCACTTCAACGAGGACATTCGATGAAACCGCAGCAATGGAACAAAATTTATTTTGTACTTAGCGGCTCACATTAAAGTGCGCATAAAATATTGTATAAAGTGGTTAACTCCTCACATCGATCTGCAGCACAACTCACCACAGTTTCCGTTAAAATTGTTTATTTGACTTAAAGCGTGAAATACAACTTCAAAAATTATAAAATAAATCATTTTGAAACTTTTAAATATGAGAGAAGTCTTTGACTTTTTATATACCCTTTTTAAACTACTTAAATTGCGTTAGTCAATTGCATAAAATATAACCCAAAACTTGAGTGCATACATATTTATGTATATAAGACTCATGTGCATATTTAACAGTACATGCATTTATTTAAGTGAATGAGTCAATTTTTTAATTGTAGTATTTCAAATGAATAAGTGTTGTTCACAAATATTTTAGGAAATTGCTATTGATTTGGCAGTATTTGTCGAATAAAAATGTATGTCCTTTCCTGTTACTTAAAACCAACTCTTCTGGACACGGAAAGAAAACTTGCATAAAAACTCAGTTGTTGTACTTCAAAAGCAGATTTTAAACCCCTACAAAAGAATATTTTTTATATAATTTCTCACGAAACAAACAGAAATGGAAGAGCAAAAGAAAAACATGTAAAATCTGTTTCTGTCAGTATAAGCAGAAACAGAATTTATCCCAACAGAAACAGAATTTTTTTTAAATTGGAAAAAAGACTCATATGGATCGACTAAAACACACACACGCGTCATTATGACTCATCTATGTAAGTGCATATGTACATATATACATATACATATACATCCAGATATGTACATATTATATAACAATTACACAATTTATTAAACATTTCGCTGATGCGAGTAATTAAGTTTTTAATGATAAAGCAACCGCCCAGGGTAATATCGCAAGTTCATGAATATTTTAATAACATATTTCCTAAAAAGGTTTAACTAAAACCATCGTTCTCCTAGTTGTTATTCCAAACTTCTTTGGGAAAATGCTTAATAATTCTTATGACCGGCCGGTTGGTGGTGCAACAAATATACTGTATATGCATATGTATGTCATTATGAGCTGCACCATATGGTCACACATATGCAAATACCTACAGATGCAATTATAGTTAATACTGTATAAAAAAGACACATCTCATTTGCATGCAATTATTCCCACAATTCTTGAAAATCTGCGCAGTTCAATGTAATAAAGCCGTCAGGAAGGAACAAACTGCTACTGACGCCCAGTAATTTGCACTAAATAGAGAAAATGTCACCACAGTGAAACATATCTACACAAAATTATTGAAGAAAACGTCGACAAAACAGCAATACTACATACAATGCACACATATTTATATACTTATAAGAGTTTTAAGAGTACAACATTCTTCACGTGTATTCCTACAGACCACGCGAGAAAAATTTACGGAAATATTAAGTTCATTTTTTAAATATGTACATACATCCTTTTTTACGGTAGAAAGCATCGAAATTCTCTGAACTGAGCTTTATATTTTTAGCTTTATATTTTTCGCCTTATTTTATCAATAATATTTACATACACTCGTGGCCACGCAAACCTTACTCAAAATTCTCAAGTATTGTGCACATTTGACTATATTTTATAGCAGTACTTTTTGCGGTATAGAAATTTTTTATTTAAAAATAAGTTAATAGCATGTTAATAATCAAAAATATTAAAAATTAAAAACAAAACACATTCAGCTATAGATAAATCAATTGAAAGAAAAAAAGGAGCTTTACAAAATGAGCTCGAAATATAAGAGACTGAAAGCGATGAAAAAGTGATATTTTAAATTTTAATTTAATTAAAGTATAATTTGTGTTTTATTCATTAAATGTAATAAATTAAAAACTATAATTATAATTAGATAATATAATTTAGTTTACTTATGCTTACTAAAAACATAAAGTAAAACAAAATTGAAGAAAATCCAGAACGAACGAAAAAGTCCGAAAAAAATGTAAGAATGTCTATAGCAAATAGGTATAGGATACATACTTAATTACATACTAGTTCTAGCTACCAAGTCACATTTGCTATGAATATTGAAGACACTATCTATCACAGGAATGCAGTGCCCATTACAACTACAATTTGCAAGCACAACGATAGGTGCTTATTGGCATGTTTTTCACACCACATCATTAGCTGTTCCATGTAAAAATTGCATTATGTAAATAAGCTTTAAGGAACGTACGCCTTGGTTTGTCAGATTATATATGTAGCAGGTCAGGCACATATGTATAAAGGTTCAACTTGTAGACCATGAGGTGCACAAGAATCCAGAAGGGAAAATACGTGTACTCTACCTAATACGGATTGCAAAATATTGTTGAGCACTGATTTTAAATTCCACTGTATCCACGTCAAAAGACATAAGTATGATATATTATAACTCAAGAACGAATAACCAATAGAAAAACTCGGTATTCCAAATCAATATATTGTCTAAACACTTAAGACGCATTTACACTATTCTAAAGGAACGCAAAAACTTAAAAGAATTTTGACGTTTCTAATAAGCAAGAGCCTCTAGTAAGTAACATCACAGCATTAAACATTTAACCCTTCAATAAGCGGAGATTTTTAGAGATTAAATAATTATATTTTAGTCCTATATTATTTTGTTTAGAGGTGTGCTCTACCACATCCGACTTTGGTATGCCTGCAACATTAAAAAGTTAGATCTGTTATAAGGTTACTAACCTGAAGCATGAAGAACCTGCTGCAATATTCTGAAATGAGAAAGTCTCTCACAAAATACATGAGGTCTATCTAAAACTTCTGAGCGCGGCCAAGTATATTAGCGGCACAGCTACTCAACACTTAACTTTTTCTGCTTGGGCCTCAAATTTCAAACATATATACAGACATATGTAGTATTTCTCTATATGTGATATACTCGTGCAAACCTATATAATATCCACTTAGCACTTGAATTGATTTTTGAAACAGATCCACGGAAAGAAAATATTGAAAAAATCAAGAAAAATGCAAAAATATGTATGATAATAGGCACAATAATACTTGTATATACCCATAACTCATACGATAAGTAAAGATATGTGCCTAGTCGAACACAACTGAGTAGTCATCTGATTCATAATGCCCTAACAACCTAATCTACTACACAGCTCGAGCTGCAAGTAAAAAGCTGAGAGCATGCGGTCGAAAGCATACCCGACTGCAAAATGTTGGTTAAACAGACAAACAGACAGACAAACCGACAAACAACTGGATGGCACGACTGCGAGCGTACTTTCCAATGCAGAAACGAATCCATTGCAGCCCAGTTGCCGATGCCGCAACACGACTTCCCGTCAACCGCACAAACACTACCTCTACACCACCAGCAAAAACTCACGCTCCTGCTGGTATTTCTTTCATATTTCGCTGCACTCAAACCAGCCAACGTCCACATGCTATGCATATTTTTGGGGATGTGCAATTGGGCCGGGTAACGTTTGCGATGGTCGCGTCTGGCGGCCGATTGGTTGGAGTACAGACATATGACTCCATCGCCAGAGATGGTTATTGATTTTTCATATAGAGAAAAGACGAAACTTTTGCACATTCGATTGTGTTGTAGCGGTGCATAGACGTGCAGGCAGCGAAAATTGCACTACGTCAAAAGCAAGTACGACCGATTTCTAGTAAAAAAAATTTCAAATTTATTTCCAATTTCTTGCAAAAAAATGCAGAAATTTCTTTAAAATCAAGTGTGTATTTATTAATGTTTGTTGAAGGAGTTTTTCATTTGGAAATTGTGTGGTATATGCAGTGGTTGGTGAGGTGATTGTTCAAAGCCGTGATTGCATTTAATAAATTGCTAGAAAAATTAACATTTAAAGCTGCACAGTTAGACGAGTGTTGATTTACTAGTGTGTAAAGATTGAAAATTAAAAAATGCGTAATAATTAAAATACAAACATATATAGATACGAATTTTCAACCTACACCAACACACAGCCCACACCCTCAACCCAACCTACCCCAACTCACTTCAGCTCAATGCATTGCGTCTTCATATTTTTGTTGAAAACTAAAAATGTACACTTTTTTGCAGAGTTTTCTTTAATCTTTGACTTTCGACTTTTGTACGGACAAAGTAAATTCGTTTTGCTTCCTTAAAAGCCGGCATCAAACAAGTAAGTCTGCATAAGAACTTCATGAAAAATATATTTATATATCTAACTTACGTATATACCTATATATTTGTATGTATATCACATGTCGATATATTTTGACGCATATTCATATCCCCGCCTACACCCTCGCCAATCCACTATCCAGGGTGCACTCAATTTTCAACTCCCCATCTCACTAACAAAACTCCCAAACACTCGTCAATGACACTTTCATTTCAACTTGCCGATTCAACGACAAGTGTACTCGCATACTTCATACTCATACCTTAGCGAATGCCGTCACTTACTTACGATTTATATTTCACTTTTTATTCGCACATTTTTTCCGCCTGAAGCGTAGTAGCGTTCACAGTGTAATCGTTCAAATCGCAGCTAAACAGCCCGAAATCTCGCCGGCATTTAGAGTATCAGCGTGTTTGTAGCCTAAAGTTGCAAGATGGGTAAGGAGAAGACTCATATTAATATTGTCGTGATTGGTCACGTCGACTCGGGTAAGTCCACCACCACCGGTCATTTGATTTACAAGTGTGGCGGCATTGATAAGCGTACGATTGAGAAATTCGAGAAGGAAGCTCAGGAAATGGGTAAGGGCTCATTTAAGTATGCCTGGGTTTTAGATAAACTGAAAGCCGAGCGTGAGCGTGGCATAACCATTGATATCGCTTTGTGGAAATTTGAGACGCAAAAATACTATGTGACCATCATTGATGCGCCTGGACATCGTGATTTCATTAAGAACATGATTACCGGCACTTCGCAAGCCGATTGTGCGGTATTGATTGTGGCGGCCGGTACCGGCGAATTCGAAGCCGGCATCTCCAAGAATGGTCAGACGCGTGAACATGCACTACTGGCATTCACTTTGGGTGTTAAGCAATTGATTGTTGGTGTGAATAAGATGGATTCCACCGAGCCGCCGTACAGCGAGGCACGCTATGAGGAAATCAAGAAAGAGGTTTCATCGTACATCAAGAAGATTGGCTATAACCCAGCATCGGTGGCTTTCGTACCGATTTCCGGTTGGCATGGCGACAATATGCTTGAACCATCTGAGAAGATGCCTTGGTTCAAGGGTTGGACTGTGGAACGCAAAGAGGGTAAAGTGGAGGGCAAGTGCTTGATTGATGCGCTGGACGCAATAATGCCACCGCAGCGGCCCACCGACAAGCCATTGCGTTTGCCATTGCAAGACGTCTACAAGATTGGCGGTATCGGCACGGTACCAGTGGGACGTGTGGAAACCGGTATACTGAAACCAGGTAAATGAGAGCAGCGTAGTTGAGCCATATTGGCTAAGTGAAAGAATGTGAGTGTGTGCGTATGTGTGAATTTGCAGGCAAACGCAGGCACCGGATATGGTTGCCACATATTTATACAATAATACATATATTTATCTATATGTATGGACTGAGTTGTGTGGGTGCAAAACTGAGTATGAAAGCTGTTGCTGCAACTGGCGAGAGCGCAACCGAAGTTGCAAAAGTGGGTCGCTGGTGCTCGTTTCTTACGCATATACCTACATATGTACATGCAGCACAATATGCTGTACTTTCTTTTGTTGCATAACTCGGTACATTTCGTTGCATATTTTTGTGCTGCTCCGACAGCTGCTGGAAGTATGCAGGTTCCGTGTCCGGGCAACGCCGAAGCAACCGCAAATGCTCTCATTTGCGTTCGTTTGCTAACTGATACGCTTGCGTGTGTATGTACTCAGCGAATAGTTAGTGTATTTCATAAATTTCATGTTTAAATTTCGATTTCCAACAAGTAACGAAGCTGCATGATGCAATTTTCCAAAATTTTTCACAGGTATGGTGGTGAACTTCGCACCGGTTAATTTGGTAACTGAAGTAAAGTCTGTTGAGATGCATCACGAGGCACTCTCCGAAGCTTTGCCCGGTGACAATGTGGGCTTCAATGTGAAGAACGTTTCCGTTAAGGAGTTGCGTCGTGGCTACGTAGCTGGTGATTCTAAAAATTGCCCCCCGAAGGGCGCCGCTGACTTTACAGCTCAGGTGAATTATTTTCAAACTCTGTTTATATCGCGTGCTCATATTAAATTAAATATTGATATTTATTGTATTTTACAGGTGATTGTGCTTAATCATCCTGGCCAAATTGCCAATGGTTACACTCCGGTTTTGGATTGTCACACCGCTCATATTGCTTGCAAATTCGCTGAAATCAAAGAGAAATGCGATCGTCGTACCGGCAAGACCACCGAAACTGATCCGAAAGCTATCAAATCCGGGGATGCGGCTATTATTATGCTTGTGCCAACCAAGCCGTTGTGTGTTGAAAGTTTCCAAGAGTTTCCGCCGCTCGGGCGGTTCGCTGTACGCGACATGAGACAAACGGTCGCAGTGGGGGTCATTAAGTCAGTCACCTTTAAAGAGACAACCTCGGGTAAAGTCACAAAAGCCGCCGAGAAGGCACAGAAGAAGAAATAACTAGAGTGCCAGCAGAACGTTAAATCACAACAACTAATAATTATGCAGCAATTAAAGCAAATACAAATACAATTTGTATTATCGTCATCGTCATCAATAATGTCGTTGTCATCAGAGTCGTTGGAGTTGTCATTTTTATTACCGCCGCCGAATGCAGTGTCGATGTGGTGGTTAACAACGACAACCGCAATAACTCCAAAAGCAACAACAGCAAAAATACTACATAAATCTCAAAAGAAAACATTTAATAAGCATAAATTTAAAAGAATACTACAATTTACTATTATCAATGATATGAATATGAATATGATAAGCAATTATTATGATAGTAATGCTATGACATTCAATGTGAGCAACAACATCAACAACAAAACAAACATCAACACAAAGCACACCATTGAACACCCATTTATGTATGACTACATCAATTATTATAGACATGCTTCATGCTACAATTCCTACAACAATAACAATACCAAGAGCATAAATATAAACAACAAACCCATTCCCCGCGTCTCTTATAGTAGCGGAATTTCAACAACAACAGCAAAAATCAACGCATCAAAAGTGATGAAATCGGCCTTCCCGCAGACATCGGTTGGCTCTGGCATAATTGAGAAGGCATCACTCCCTATGCAAGTAACCAAGAACAAAATAAAAGACACTGATAACATAAAAACCCCACAACTTGCAACGACAACTCCTTCCCGTGCTTATTCTTCCGCACAGTTCATAGCCATACGCGAAGCAGCTCATTTAGCAATCAATACCAAACTAATTATGTTATTATTTTCAATTGTATACTATATTTATAACTTTCTTAATCTATACCGTCATCGCAAATCGTTTCGCAGGAAATCTATTTATAGCGCTTTGTTAAAAACAAACCCAATGTCAACAACTATCCCATACAATATCGACATTAACGCACCTAGCAAGTGGTCATACATTTCATAATTAGAATTTCCAACCAATAAGTTTCATAGATGATGCGCGCTCATCACGATTTATGCAGCAAACAATGTCGGCTTATCCCTTATCGTATTCCCTCATTATATTAGTAATCATAAGTGTACATTTGAATGTATGCGAATTCATACATTTCCTGTAACAGATATAAATGCATGCGTTTGTATTGTATTGTAACTGTATTTCAACACCAAACTGTGAGACTCAATCGAATTGAATTCATTTTGTTATTAATTCATATAATTATTATTAAGTTTTTTATATATGGTATTGTGAAACCCAACCAAAGTTGGTAATACTCTTAATCGCCCTATCCAACATAAACAACAAACACACGCACTCCAATTACAACAACATAAACTTTTACAAATTAGCCATGCAACATTATCCAACACACTCCAACCAATTGAACATCATACAAATGCAAAAGTATCAATTTAAACGCCATTAGCACTTTACCATTTGCACATTTGGACCAATCACACTGTGTGCAAATAAGCAAAAAACCCAAAACTGACATGCAACTCGTGAAAACTAAAAGCCAAATAGTTTTGTTGCGCCTGTCATCAAGTTCTGTTATTCCGCAAACTTGTTGTCAAGGTCATACATTACATACATATGTAATCAAAACATGCAAAGAAAGCATAAAATGCAAAAACATATACACAAACACACCTCAATGGATGCAATACACATACATACAGACATACAATACAACTAATCACTTGAATGCATAAATGTAAAGCATGAATAGACAGTGAATGTGTACTAATTAAAATTAATAAACGAAAATCCCAAAAATACATACATACATATATGAAAATAAATATAAATAAATGTAAAAGCTGGAGTTGCTTAAATAAAGATGAAACATTTCAATTGTATGATTGAAATCAACAATTTTAAAATTCGAATTGAGAAATAAAGAAGGCTTAACCAACAAAAACAAAAATATGTGAACCGCTTGTTACGGCAATAATAATTCATAATAGGTAAGTGTTGCTAAACATTGTCTCAATACAAAATAGCTGTTTTAAATTAAAGTTTAAGAAGTATTTTATTTCAGTTTGGGAAGTTTTATTAGCTTTGGGAATAGTTTAATTTCATTTTATGTATACTATGGCCACTGCAACGCGTGGCCGGTTCTAGTTGTATAGATAAATAGCTAATATACATATGTACATATATAAAGATTTCTGTCTGAAATGACCGATAATCTGGGACCGTACCAGTTATGAGAAAATGTTCAAAAAAATTAGTTTAATAATTATTTATCAAATTTATATTTTTTCGTTACGAAATAATCACTATTTTTTATTTTTATTTTTCGCTTAAGGGATTTTAAATAACCCCTCGCAATAGGAGTTGAATAGGAAGCAAAAAATAAAAGTACAAAAATTACGATAATTTTTTTAGGAAAAAATTAAAAATAAAAATTTTAAAGTTTTTAACATATGTATGTATTTATATAGTCCTCAACAAAAATTGATTTTTTAGTCATAAATTATACAAAACTGTTATTTTCGCTTCCTGTCGATAACATTTATTTCATTGAGAAATCAAGCACTTTTTACATTCGGCACAACAACAACAATCACAACATTTATAGACATTAGAAAGGTAACTTGGTTATACGGAAAGGATTTCAGATAAATGAATGTAAAGAAATCCGAAATTAGCAAAAATAAAATATATTATATAAGGGATTTTGAAAACCTCAACACTCGTAAGCTTCTATTACAACTTTATAGGAATTTTTTCAAGAAATACAGTATTTTTTTTTTAGAATAAGTGACAAGTTAAGAGTAACAGAAATGAAATAATGTCCGGCTATGGGAGTGTAGCAAAAACTTATGTTTAAAATGTATTCTTAGACTCACAAAATGAACAGAAGTTATAATTTTTTAAATGTTGTRTTATATATACATACATACATACATATATCTTATATTTTCAAAATTTACGTTAGTTTGTTTCCGTTGAATCACCGCTTACAAGAGACTCCAGCGCAAGTCCATTTGTTTGCTGCGATCATTTTACATACAAATTCTACAAAACTTGTTTACACTTTTTATGAAATCTTGTCCGTTTATCAGAGATAATTTAAAAGAAGTATTATCAAAATAGTCATTGGAACGGTGTCATGTACGGTTATATGAACTGGTTTTGTATGAAAATATTAATGAAAACATTGTATTCTTGAAATTCGTACAGTTTTGTGAGATGTCCATATTGGGGAATTTCACTGTAGTTCCGAACTGTATTCAAAGAAATATTTCACTTTACCCCGTAATGTTTTTGTATGCACTGATAGTACGAAAACTCGTGAAAAAGAATAGTAGAATAACCTGTCGACACGCAAGCTTTGGCGTTAGACTTTCTCTGTACACAGAATATATTCGGTTGAAAAAAAAACACTTTTTTACAAACAACTTATTTTATAACTTCTACAAAACGTACTAAGTAATCTTCAAAAGTTTACTAAATTTTTCATAACGTCCCCCCTCTACCTGCAAGAAAATTCGTCCGGAAATCCGTCAAAATTTAGGACCGTTGGCTCAACGTTCGCTAGTGCTCAATATTCATAGTCGTGCCGTCCTATGCACTTTCATCAATAACTATGTACACTCCTTATATTTTTAATTATCTACTCTTATTTCTGCAAAACACTGGCATGCAATTCATAACAAGTCGCAGGCACAGTAACCTTGGCATTCTCCCCAAATACCGTATGGATTACAACAAAATTACTCTTTTCCGGGATCTCTAGTAAATGATATCAATAGCAATGCATAAACTCACCTCTAAACAAACAATAGTGAATATATTAATATGTTGAAACCATATTATTTAAACTAAATGCGGTAATCTTTATGCCTGTGGTTATTTGAAATAAATGTTTGATGAAACGATATTACTTCAATGATCCACGGAATACGGAAATAAAAAATAACCTATTGCTTTTGTATATGCGAGCGATATACAATTTCGTCGTAATCTATCGTGAATGATATTAAAATGAAGCACAAGTTCCACAGCCAACAAACAAAAACAATGTCTGTAAAATGCAGAAAATGCCGGCAGAACTTCTGACTCACTATTTGTGGCTAAAAGAAGTCGTATAAAACAGGCTTTGTACGTTTTGTCTGGGTATAACTTCTATTAAACTCTGGATTTGTTGTAAAATAAACCGCCAGAACTTGCGAATATTTATAGTTACCAGAATACAAATTGTCAGACTTAATGGCCGATCCACGTTTACGACAATTGACAATTAAAACGGGAGTTGTGAAACGTTTGGCAAAGGAGAAAACAGTTTGTGAAAAGGAAGTGGTTACAGAGCAGAACCGTTTGGAAAGATTCAAGGGTGAAGGTGCAGATGAGCACGTTCTAAAAAAACAAGAAGAAGTAATAGCTGAGTGTGTTATGATGCTTCCAGATACATTACGCAGGTGAGAATTATTAAGCAGATGGTCTGGCTGAAAAGGTTTTCTTGAACAGATGTCTATACTTGTATTTTCAGATTAAGAAAAGAGTTAGAAACTCTTGAAAAATTCTTGTCTGAGGAAGAAGAACTGAAGGAAACAAAAGAGTACGAAACTGCAATACAGGTTGTAAATGATGCCAAGGAAGTGCTTGCGAAAAAGGATTAACCAATTTGTACAAAAAAAAACCTAATAAGTTTAATTTTATAAGTCCACAAGCATAATTCACCAACTCTTAATATAAACACTATTTTTATTTAATTGAATTAATCATAATGTCTAAAACTAATGATACAATTTTAAGTATCTCGCTGTTAAAAAACAGTATTGAAACTATACTTACAAACATCAAGGAATTAGAAAGGATTAAATACGATCACGGAGATTGGGGAATACATGTGAATAGATTGAAGCAACACACAGAAGAGTTAATCCAGAAAGTGGAAAGTGCGCCGTTGGAACAATTAACTAAAGTGTTAAAGAAAAGAAAACTAAAACGTCAACAAAAGAAATATAAATTAAAACAACTCAAAGCCAATGCTAAAAATAGAATTACACCTCAAGAACTGAAATCAGAGAGAATCTCAAATATTCAACAAAGTAATAAATATCCTTCGAATCCGTCTTATGTTAGAGATATATCTACCGTAAAAAAGTGTCATCATATTCGTTTACTGAAGCAACATGATGCTCAACGTTTTATCCAAACCTTTGAATTATTAAAAAAGTTACATTTTTCACGTGGTCAGAACGTACATAATACAAAAGAATTTGGCGAACAACTACGTGATTTGCGAATATATTGGGGGAAAATATTAGATGAAACCAACATAGAATGTACACAAGAACGGCACGTAGAGGATCAATGGAATGAGACAATTTTTGGATCGGTCGAACATTCCTGCTATGACGGTGAGCAAAAAATAAGTGACCTCCTACGAATACGGCGCATTTGGGATAGCTACTTAACGCGGAGTAAAAATGGTTCTTCTATACCTGGTGGTTGGATTCTTCCTAATGAAAACGCCAATTCAGAATGGCAGCAATACCGAGTCATTTGACCATGTGATTGTTGCGTTTACCTGTTTTTTATGTAATACTTTTTAAATTAATAAACTCACTACTTTTTAAAGAAAATATTGTAAACAAAGCGTTAAATTATGTAAATCACTTTTATTGGAATTCAGTTGCAACAGAGAACTTTTTTCTTAACTTTCAACGTATGAGCGAATGGTCATGCTGGCCACTGAGTTGGAATTTATTCATATACCCAACCTTCAGCAGCTGGCTGCCATGAAACGAGCTCCTTCTCATTGAACCAAAGAGCGATTTCCTTATTTGCTGATTCAACAGCGTCCGAGCCATGGATAATATTACGACCGACTTGGATACAGAAATCACCACGGATGGTACCAGGCAAAGAGTCAGCTGGGTTAGTAGCTCCCAACATTTGACGACCAGTCTTCACAACATTCAAACCCTCCCAAACCATGGGAACCACTGGGCCAGAGCTCATGTAGTTGACCAAACCGGGGAAGAAGGGACGAGCAGACAAATCGGCATAGTGCTTCTCCAAAAGATCCTTTGACGCCTAGAAATATAAATTAAATAACATGTTTTAAAACTGACCTTCCATATTGTTCCTGGTGTTTTCCTCTGGAAAAAAGAAAAATGTACACATGTGGCAAAAATCCACTGGACGAACCTAACCATACTTTTATCCCTCGGGGGAAAAAAGTTTACACTGGAAAGTCCGAAATTCCAATCAACCCTAGTTACAGTAAATTTGATTAGACCATTTTTTTTTGGCAATCTACTCACCCATGTGAATTTCATGGCCACCAATTTGAAGCCCTTCTGCTCAAAGCGCTCGATGATCTTGCCGACGAGTCCACGTTGGACTCCATCGGGTTTCACCATGATGAAAGTGCGCTCCTTATTTGCTGCCATTGCGTACGAGAACAAAGAGAAGAATGCCAAAATCGTACCAATCATGACAGCTTTTTTACCTAGAAAATTGATTAGCGAAAACGACCGGTTGAAAGAGCGGGAAGACATATTTTCGTGTTGTTTCGTAGAATTCATATTGGAAATTCGAAAAATAAAAGCCGGCGTTAACCAGTGTTGCAAACATTATTAAATTTCCATTCGATTTCAAAAAGGAGTGCACAGTAAATACAACTATGAAATATCATATAATTTTACAAAAAATAAATACAAATATGAAAAATATTTCATTTAAATACAAAAAAAAAGTATTTTGTGGATAAATAAATGGTTAATATTTTGGATGAAGTGTGTAACATTCTACTAGCTTTAGCTCTATTATTACATACAGCAGAAGAAATTTTGTGATCCAAACAAAACAAATCATAAGATTTTTAAAATCATTTAGCAACAAGAAGAAAACTTGCTTAATATTATTAGTAATGAGAAAAACTTGTTTTAAATTTGTTACTAATGAGACACATTATTAATTCAGTTTTACTGAAGTGTTCATCTATTATTTTTGCAGTTTTAATATAGTTTTATTGTACACACATATCGTATATTACTGTTCTAAATATATAAAAAATCTTAATTGCGTTTACAAGGAATATATATACAAATCACGGACTAATATACATATATCTTAGGTGCTTAATTTGCCCAAACTATCGGCATATTGAAATTCAGGGCTGTTCTCGTACTCGCACATATCTAAAGCTATTTCGCAACTCTCCTTTACAACTCTTTTTTCATCCAACGCATAACGACTTAAAATGTTGACACATTCCTCCGTAGCGATCGCTCCAAGTGCTTCCGCGCATTCATGACGCACCATTTCATTTTCATTTTGATCTTCTAAGTTGTGCTTCAAATAAGAAATACTGCATGGTTCTTGAATTTGGCCCAATACAAAAGCCACCTCATGGCGAAATAGTGCTGAACGATCCCTTAAACCTTTTGCGATAGCCAAAACACTTTCCGTGGTACCCAAATTACGTAAACTGAACATAGCACGATATCGGTCAAATAACCTTTGATTTGGATCTAAGTAAATAGCTTTCAAATCTTCAAAGTTTTTATTTCCGCTAATTGGAGGCGAAGGATCTACTGATGCGTAGGGATTTTTGTCATCGACTGTTTGACCACTCTGCAGCCAACGAACACGATCTAATGCGATTGAACACGTTTCCGCCACTTCCACTACAGGGTCTTCCTTGTATTGCTCTAGAATTGGAATGACCTCTGGTACACCAATGGCGCCAAGCGCTTCACCGGCTTCATGCCTTACCATAGGTTCTTGCATCGTATCGGCGAGTACATTTGTTAGAATATCTATGGCTCTTTTATCTTGCATCTGTCCCAGACAATAGGCTAGTTCATGTTTTAACAAAGCTGATTCATCGGAAAACCCACGACTAATTTCTTCAATCGCCTCAGCTCCTCCAAGATTTTTTAGGGTGAATAAAGCACGAAAACGTTCCTTTAAAGGGCGTTCCTTATTATTTAAGACAGCACCAATGGCTTTCAGCTGCTCCTGAGTAACCATGCTCGTAGAAAATTTGTATTAAAACAGAAGTTTCCTAGTTACACGATGAAGAAAATAAATGTGCATGAAGTATTTACAATTTCAATTCGAAATGACATTTATTACAGATGGGGTATAGGGTTGCTGTGGTCTATAAATATATTTTTAAATCAACATTTTATTCTATATAACGAGATGTTTTTGCATACGTTAAATTTTCAACAAATTCAAATACACTAGTATACCGTACGGAAATTAAGTGAACTTAGATTAAAATCCTCAAATCAAATTAATATATGTAAAAAGTAACTTGAAATGCGATGAAAGTATCAAAATCAACTCTGCTATTTCTTAGCAGAATTACCAACATCTGACTCGTTCGTTAATGACATTTATTCAAAATTCACATTTCGGAGTTCTTCAACGAGTTCCTTTCAGAAACACGTGCTTTGAGAGATAAATGTAACTTTTAAAACTTAACACTATTTCCAACAATAACTGATACTTGAAAATGTATTTAGTAATTATAGATCCTGAATTGTAATTAGGAGCTTTATAATAGCGACACTTAACGAGAACGAGTTTTCAACGATGGCACCACTAGTTTACGCTCAAGAAAATGCAACACTGAGGATTTGAGTTATTCGTTGAAAATAAACGAGTAAATAAGTTAAACGGATGCGCGGCGTTACGTTGTGAAGTGGAAAATTTATTATATTAAATTTACATGTTTTCGTGTACAACAAATTTACAAATTACCAGAAAAAGTGAATTTGATAAGTTTTAATCGTGCAAACAATAAAATTATATGAATATTTAAAATTCTTTCTCGCAAAAATTTAGTAATACGGTGCAGTGGAAAAATTTTCGTTGTGCGCGTTGTTGTGAATCACGTATATAGAATAACATTGAAAGCGCAAAATAAATTTGACGTACTAATACGGAATATCAGAATTGCGGAGAAGTTAATACTACCTATTTCTTAAACAAATAAATAATAATGTCTGAAGTTGCGAATAATAGTGAAATTCAGCAGAACACTGTACCAGTTGAACAGACGATTGTTGAAACGGGGGAAACGGTGTCGGCAAACGCGCCCACGTCGACTGAGGCAGAGATATCAACTGCGACCGAAAAGCAAGTGGTCAACGACAGCATTGAAGCTGAATGTGCGTCAGGCGATGCGGGCAACAGCGCTGTGGAGGCGACCAAACCAACGGAGTCCTCACCAAAAGTGGAAAGCAAGAAGACACCCGTAAGTATAAGTCAATTGGTGCATTAACGCTCTACGTATGTGCATAAATTCTGTTCATACATTTTGTTTGCGGGGGGTTGCAGTAATTAGCGATACGATGCGATAAAATCAAATGGAAGCATTGTGCAAATAAAGTTCTACAAGTCTTCACCGAAACCTCTGGAAAATATCCAGAAATAGTTCCAATTGTTGTACATGTAGATCCAATAAGTTTTACAATTATGACGTTTATTGCAGTAATGGAATATATATCTAAACGTTATAGGTGTAAGTTTTTTTTATGCAAATATGTCGATGATAGAGATAACTCCAACTTATCATATATTTGTACTAAACTTATTATTATATATTTGTGCTAAAAACGAAAATATTGTTCGTGGCATAAAAAGCGCGCATTTTTGCCCCTATGTCTTCTTTAATACTTGTGTTCAAGTTGTTACCTCGTTTAATGAGCCCCCTCCCGATATTTTCCTCGCTGTTGTCATACACTTTTGTGACGTATGAAACGCATTAACTTCTCTGCTACTGCGCTACCTAACGTTGTCATACATTTTTTGTTTTTTAACTATAACATTCTTTTTTTATTATTCCACCTATAACTCGGCTCCTAACATTAGGTTTCGTGTAGTTAAATTTTCGTTACTTTGCATTGTGTTTTTTTTTTATTAGTTTTCCCTCTTTTTCTGTTTATACTCGTTACTTGTTCCTCAATGCAACAAACGAGCTGAATTATGCGCTTCAAAGCGTGTTTGTTGTATACATGTATTGTGTTTTCTGAGGTTTGCTGTACTTCATACCCATTCTTATGATTCTTTTGGATTTTGCGCGCGTTTCAATTTACGTACGGTTGGCTGACTTCAGTTTTGTAATTCCTGATATATTCCTTTACTTGTTTTGTGACATACTTTTTTTCTTTTTTAAAGGATTCAATTATTGTTTGCCAATTAGTATAACATGGTGATATGATAGACTAAAAAAGTGACTTCACTTAGCAAAAATATTATTTCTTATCTCTGGATATTTGTTTTCATTCTTTTCTATATTATTTATTAGATAATCCCATAGGTCGAACTAAAGGCAAGAAATACACCACAATTTAATTAATACGAAATTGGTGATAAGATAACCATTGTTTTTTTCAGTTTTGTTTTGGTTACCATTTTCTTTCGTGAATATGACTTGCATACAAATATTTTATTTGGTACATTTTTTAAGGTGAAACGGACACCTTCAAAGCGGATGTCTTTCATAGAGCGGGCGCAAAAGGAAAGTGAAGAACTCGTTAAAAATATGGGCGGCAGTTTGGAATTAGATGGTGGTCGACGCACACGATCAAGCACACGTGGTACACCAACCCGATCTTCAGCAGCATCCACTCCACCTCCTGCGAAAAAGGCGCGCACGTCTCCGGCAAATGCCAGCAGCACTCCCTCCCGTGGTCGCGGACGTGGAAGAAAAATTGAAACAGCCGAAGAATCAGAAGATGCCAAAGAGGTAGCGGAGCCGAAAACTATTAAAACACCAGAAAAATCAAAATCGCCTAAAAAGAAACAAGTTAGTTATTTAATATAATCGCAATTAATTTCATTAAAAATATATATTTTTTTATACTCTAGTCTTCTGCAGCCAAACACAACAACACTTCGAAAGATTCAGCTGAACCTGAGCCTGTGGCTGAATTATCTGTTTCAGTAGAGGTTGCTGAAAAGGCTACCGAAAACAAAGAAGAAGATGCAGTAGAATCCTTATCAAGTGTGGAGCCCTCTGAGGAGCAAACAGATGGTAAGATCGAATCGGAAACTATTGCAGAAGATCAGCAGAGCAAAGACCAAGACGTTATCGCTTCAGAAGCGGAACAAGAGGTATCTGCCATACCTAACGATAGTGAAACACCAATGGATACAAGCGAACCCGTAGCGGCAGAAGATGAAATAGATGCAACCGCAGATTCGGAGCCAATTAAGCCGAAAGAAACCACAGATGTTGAAATTGTTTCAGAAGAAACCACAGGAGAAACAGCAACAGCCATGGAAACAAAAGATTTACCCTCCGAAGCAATGGAAGTCGATTCTAATTCAAAAAGCAGTGATGTCGAGCTAATTGAATCTACACCTGCTGCAATCGAACCAACAACAAATGCGGAAGAAAGCTCTGCGCCGCTTGACGAAGTCAAAATTAGCCAGGAAACGGTAACTGTAAAAGAAAACACAATAGTCCAAGAACCTGCAGTTAAGGCTAATGACGTTGAGGATGTTGTAGTCGTCAATGCAGAAGTTGTTCCACAAGCGCCGGTTGCTTGTGAAGTGGGGAGCTTAGCACCAAATACAAACGCATTAACTGCAAATAATGAAGCTTGTGCCAATAACGTAAAAGAAGATGTGGCTGTCGAAAACCCCGCCACTGTTGAAATTGAAAATTCACCAATAGAAGTAAATGCCAACATTGATGATGCTGTAAAGCCAGAAAATGAGTTGTGTAAGTTAGCATTTATAGAAAATTTGTAATATTTCAACAGATAATGTTTTTTTTATTGGCTGCATGCAGGTGTACCAAAGGTCGTGTCGCCATCAATAACTAATACAAATACGGATAGCACCGTGGCAACGATTTTGTAAATGTGAAATACATATACATACATCGACTTCAACATTTATTACAATAGTTAACCGTTATAATGCCACAAAAGGCAAACACCGTTAAACCACCACAATATGAACGCAACATTAATATACTTGCAATTGTGGAGTGGAGAAGTATACAAAAAGATGAGGAGTAATAGTTGCCGAGTTGACAAGCCATTTAGTTATGCACGAATGTCTACCACACAACCCGCCTGAAATATATTTATGGACGTTTAGTTTTATATTTGTTTTCATACGTTATTCTTAGATTTACTTCTCTATTTTCAATGCAGAAATTTAAATGGACAATTTTTAAGTACCAACGGATAAGAGTTAATTAATATGTTGCGCTACATATACATTTTTTTAATTGGACTACAGAAACACAATGTATAATAATATATTATATA